GAACAGCCAACAGGGTCACTAAAGAAAACCCTGGTGCCAGAAGAGGGACCACAGCCAAGGGTGACAGCGCAGCCAAGGAAATGTCCCCAGCCCATGAAACTCGATGGAGTCACAAATACCAGCCCTTTGATGTTTCTTCCCCCATGGAAAAACTGTAGGTCAAGTGTAAGAATGCAGGGCTGGGACATGCAACAGGGATGGGGAATTGTGGGGTTTAGGTTCTGGAGCTGTGACATTCCTGCTGGAAGCGGTTCTGTGTGATATTCAGCGCTGCTCACCCTCAGCAGCTCTCACTTGTGACCTCCTGGGAGTGAACATCCTGCCACTTATAAGCCCTGTGGAAGGCACCAGGACAGCATGAAGGACTCCAGGAGCACAGATCAATAGATCAATGCCCAGCAGCAGGAGCAGCAGGGTGGAAGGGCTGCCTGCTCTCACCCGCAGTGCAGGTGATGCTCTGCTGCCTCCTCGGCAGCTGCCCAAAGCAAGGCAAGGCTCTGCTCCCCACCTAAACTGTCTCAGACCCCAATAAACCTCTGTAGCACCCTAAACCCACACTGAGCTTGCTGATGTCACTCAGCTCTGTACTCTTGTCCTTTCCCCAGACTTGCAGCAAGCCCTTCCTTTCTTCCTGAACCAAGTCTGCTGCCACAGCAAAAGGGAGTTTTGTCATCCTTTGGATATCATCCTAAGGCAGTTTATCTCATTCCTGCCTGCAGTGCTGAAAAGCCTTGAAATGGCTCCTCTCCAAAATGAAGCTAAAAGGGTATTTTCCTCTGCTGAGGAACAGAGTGAAAGATTACTGAATGGCTCCTGCAATTTTTCGTGGTTTCAGCAGGGTGGCTGCTTGAAGGGAGTACCTTTGCCACAGTCTCCTGCAAGGACAAGGAATCTTTTTCCCTGTGTATGTACCCCTGAATTCAGACAGTTTGACAGATTGGGCCGCCCCAAAATCAAATCCCACAAATTAAAGCTTTTGTAGGTGATACAATTCAATACCTGAGCAGAGAATCAAATGCTTTTGCTTCTTCAGTCAATTCTTTTTCCACTACATTGCACTGGATCTTATATAACAAATATTTAACTAGATAAAATCCACCTAAAATGTTCAGTTGAAGGAACAGAAAGATATTCTTCATGACAGATGAAATATTTTCTCAACCTTTAGAAAATGAATCTGAACTGCATTGTAAAAATTTTTTTAAGTAATTCTGAAAACGTCAAAACTACTCTTTCAACAATTTATCCTGGTTTTTCTCTGGGTTTTTAAATGAAATTTCACTAGATTTCCTGAAAAAAAGCTAGCAAAGTCAGTATTTTTAACCAGTCTTACCTACCTTAGAGTTTTTCCTCCTGCTCTAATATCTGATCAAGACAAAATGTGTTGCCTGCTAATTTCAAAGGGGGCTCTGTTATGAAGCTCATTGGAGCCAGTTTTTGAGGCCAAATGCTAACCATGCATTCAGCTAATATTTAAAGAGTGACTCCATGGTGCTAAAAAATACTGAAGCAAAGCATCACATTGCTGCTATGTGACAGACCAGTCTTGCAAGAAGGGCTCCTTCCAAGTGGCACTGTGCATGAGGGCTCACAGATTAACACCTGACACAAGTAATCAGGCTGGAAAACTGCTGCTACTCTAATTGAGATGTTCAGTTGCAACTATTGTTGGAGTTATCTCCTCCTCCTGCCCAGGAGGCAGAGATGCAGTCAGATCCTTGTACTTGCACCTAGCATGGAAAGCTGCAGTGCTGCTGCTTTGTTTCCCAGAAATTAAAGCTGATCTTCGTGGGAAAGGTGTCACTAAAAGATGCACAGAAATTTATCTGTTAATCCAGAGGAGACTGTTGAAGTGAATATGTCTGAATCAAACAGTATTGGGACATACGGTCCATTGCCTTCCAACTTTCCTTGCCTATTCATAATTTCTAAAAGCTTGGTATAAAAGAATCTGGAAAGAGAAACTTGTTGGGAATTTTTATTTGGTAGCACCCTCCTCTGGCAGCTGCTCAGCCATCTCTGGCTGTAAGAATCAAAGCAAATGAGAACCACAAACACCCTGAATCTGGTGGTCTACTTTAAAAATTCAACCAGGTCAGTCAATTGATCATCCCATTGCACACATCAAAGCATTACAGCATTACAGAACTACTAGTTAAAACTATTTTTCAGCTCTTCGTTGAAAAGCAGCTTGATGGTCTAAGTATATCAGGACAACAAGCTTGCCTCCCGTCTCTGAAACATAAGCATAACCTCAGTCTTTCAAAGTACGTGAAGCCCTATGCATGCAGCTAATTATAAACAGTGTTGAAATGGAAGCTTAAAAATGGAAGGTCGTGTTCCCTTCATCTGAACATTAAATCCCTTCAAGATCAGTCTGCCCTAGATAGAAGTGGCTGCATTCAGCTGTGTGGTATCTGTATTACAAAATGTTCTTTGAAACGATCCAGTGGTGAAGGGAGTTTGACTTGTACTTTGCCAGAGAGCCAAAGCAAAGAGGAAGGGTTAGGTACACAGCCTCTGCTAAGTGCTCAGCCAACAACACAAGCGTGTTTGTCAGAGCTGCCTGGCCTCAGGGCTGCCTAACAGAGAGCTCCTCGCTTTATCCCCCAGAGATGGGATTCCAAGGAAAGCCAAAGCCCATGAATCCTGGGGTATAATGCCTGTAGCCATTCACATACACACATTGCACTCCCTGGCATGCTAGGGACCACTGGTAGGATTTATCACAGCCACACAACTTTAAACTAATATTCAGTCACAAATGTAAAATGCTGAGAGTCAGAAGCCTTTGCCAGTTTTCTGTCATTGCAAAATGACACTGGCCAGAATCCTTTGATTTTCCCCAAAGGTCAACAACTAGCAGAAAGCCATCATCCAGATGACTCCAGATGATCCTTGGAGAAGGGCTGGCTCTGCTCCCCCCCTGCAAGGGTTGTCAAGCATTGGAATGGTCTGCCCAAGGATGTTTTGGAGTCACATCCCTGGAAGTGTTTAAGAAATTACTGAACATGGCATTTAGTGCTATGGTTTAGCTGGTATGGGGAAAGCTGTTCAGCCAAAGAACTCAATGATCTTGAAAGTCCTTTTCAACCTAACTGATTCTATGATTTGCTTTCTGCCCATGTCAATCTGGTCAGTGTTAGCTGTTTCTCATGGTGTTAACCCACCAAAGACAAATCCTGTGAACCAACTCCAGCAAATCTCTGTGCAAACAACTTTTCTGGTCTGACTATGCCCCAGCCACCAGCCCCCAAAGGACTGCTCCCTCTCACTAGAAGCTCTTTGCACCAGCTTTGCCTGCAGGCTCTGAGTTGATGAGGGGGTCTGGGGTCTGCCTGGGGTCCACCTACACCTCCCATGAAAAACAACTCCAGCTGCTATCAGAGACTGTGGGTGCTGCCTGGCATCGGCTGTGCAGCACAGACACTCTGGGTTTGTGGAAATAAACCTCTTCCTGAGATTCAGCCCTGTTCAATCCATTCTTCCTCACTCCAGAAAATACCCTCAATTATCTCTTGGGTGAACTGAACAAAGAAGCTTCTGCTTTTGCTTTTTGTGGAGAAGGTAGATGGACCTTGGTATGGCCACCTGAAATTCCAGCCAAATACATTTCCCAGGGTTAAATAATACCTTTTTGTTCAAATTTGGTTTCTGGTTTCAATGAAAACCAAAAATAAGTCATTCCACTTCAGTTTACTCTTTGTATGGTGTTTTTAAGAGTGGTGAGGTCTACTTTAGACCTTGGATTGATTTGTGTGTGTTCTGTACATATATGTAGGATTTCTTGGGAACTCTTGGAGACTGTTTTGACCTTCAGCTGCAACACCAGACTGTTCTGTATCTCTCCTTCCACTTTTAAAAACACAATAGTAGCCCTTTCCAGCAGAAACCTGTGCTTTTGGAAGCATGCAACTCCTATCCAGACAGCAATCAAGTGTGATCAGTGAAAAGTTCCACTGCCCCTTGTGCAAAGAGTAGCCATCACCTCTCTGGCACAGGGCAAGGCCAGGGCCTAAAAGAGTATGTGAATATTCCCAAATGCTGCCTTTTAAAAGATGGAAACAGCATGAAGTGCATTCCTGACACAAATCAGCAGAAAAGCAACCCCAAAACAATGATAAAAATTTGTGATTCTGATTATGCATGTACACAGGAATCAGTAGTGTTAGATACCTTGACAAGAAAAACTAGTGCTGATACCTTTTGCAAAACTATTTTTTGCAACTTCTGCTCATATTTGACAGAAATTGGTGCAACTCCTGTATTACAGTCTGATCAGAGAGTCAAGAAAACTATAAAGGATTTTACTGCCTAGTCCCCCAAGGGCTTGGATGAACATCAATTTTACTTGGGCAAGCACATTTTGCAGAGTCAGAGCTTTGCTTTTTGGACCCCATTGGCTGTTTAGCTTTACTCTCTCCCTTTTCTGCTCTTGGCCAAAATTGTAGTGTGCACTCGTCATCTAAAATTCCAGCACCATATTCATCTGATAAGAGTTCAAATGAAAAAGAAGGTGCCATGAAATAAATCTAGCACTCTGGCAAAAATCAGAATTGATAACGTGGGAATTGATAATGTACAAGCTTAATCCATCCTTCTTTGAATCTCACTGTCATTTCAAGGCCCACCTGGGGTTGTTATATGGGATGGCTTTTAGGTTGGGTGAAGTTTACGAGAAGAGATTAATAAGTATCTATTGATTATATCTAAGCAAAGACAACTACAGTATACTCATCCAATTCTTTCCAATGGCACATGGATTTTATGACAGTATGTATTAACTGATATAATCTTAAATCAAGATAACCTTAGATCCTTAGTTAGAAGAGGTCTGATTCTCAAAAATCCCTTTTATAAAAATTCCCAAGTGAGAAGGGATGACTAAAACCAAATCCATCCACAAAGGAATCAACACAACAGAAGAAAAACCAGTTTGAATTTTTTTTTTTTTTTGGTCAGCTCCTAAATTGCCCGTCTTCATTCCCTTTTCCCATCAGATACTGTGAGCTTGCACTCAGTGCCATCATGAGACTGAGGTGATTCCAGGACATTCGAGGTGTCTTCTGCTCAGTCCTTCAGTCCATCCAGCCTGAAGGTATTTAGTCATCAGAGGCCTGGAAGAATGTGCAGATGCCTACAATTCCCCATGCCCAAAGACTGGTGACTGCAAATGACAGTGGTAATGATTTCCTGGCAATCAGAGCCAAGAATGAGTCAACTGCTGGTTTTAAATGGGATAAAGAAAACCAATCGTATTTCAATCCTGCAGGTGCTGGAAATTGCACACTGGGGTAAATCAGTGTAAAAGATTCATTTATTTTTTTGTGGCTTGTTGATGCTTCTGGAAAGTAGAAGCTCAAGGAAAAAAAAGAAAAGAGAGACCTTTGGTTGAATTGAAACAAAAACTTCTTCAGATAACTTTTGCTGATTTTCAAGTCAAAATCCAGAAATAAATGTAATTTCAATTCTACAGTTATTTCAGTTTTGGACATTTCTCCAATGCTAAGTCCAAAGAAATTTGAAAATTCATATAATTTTGGATCAATACTTTTTTGGCCATTGTTATTAAAGAAAGATTACTATTTTCTAATTATATTATTAATGTTGTTTCAGGAACTGGGAATTTGTAAAACTGTGCAATATCATGAAATCTGAAAATTTTTTTTTGCAAAGGAAAAAATATGAATCTGAAACATTTTGTACAGTTTCAGTCTGGGACGTGTGTGATATATATTAAGATTCCCTGTTACTCGAGTTCCAAATACTCCTTCTGTTGTAATCACTTGAATTTAATAGTAAGGCAGTAAGGCTGTGCCTCAAATACAATGTTTTTTATAAAACAGCGCTTTGGCTCAAGGGATGCTGTCTTCATTTTAAGTGTGTTTCTGCAGGCAGAAGTTATTAACTTCTGTTTTCCATAAAGTCAAACTACCCAAAATATTGAGGGCAGCACACAGAAAACAGCTTTCTACAGGCAGAGCTCTGAGGAGTCTGTGTCACAGAATACATCCTGTGCCCTAATCCCAAAAGGACAAGAAAAAAACAGCCTCAGCTCCTAAAAGTAATAGCTGGTGCTCTATAGTTCTCAGATCCCTGATTCAGTGACTGCAACAGCAGCAAAAATAGCAGCTCTCATACACATTTTAAGTGCAGGTTAGGAATTGCAGCTGAAATTGTTTCAGGGGGATGTTTGTAATGCACAAATGTCTGTCTAACCTATCCCATTATCTCTGGGATTGCAGAGGTATTACTGCACTTCAAAACTATTTCATGAGAATATTCTACAAAAACACTAAGAATGTTTTTAGGGCTCTGAAGAAAAAATTCTTTCCCCACCCACAGCTGAAAAGGTGCTATTGTCTCATTGACGATAGGAATAGGTGGACTAGAATTTAAGCACAAATGAAATCTGCTATCAGCATTGTAATTCACTTTTAAAAGGGGCTCTCGCTCAGCAGCCCTGTTGATAATCTCTGCAAAGCATTGTGTTTTATGGAATGCAGGGCAAAGCTGAATGTCTGGGACCTGCCCTGCAAGAACTCCTCTCTCTTGAGAGAAAAATCCTTGCAGACCCCAGGTGTGGCAGCACGGATGTGTCTGTGAGACCTCATAGCAACATCAGGCTGCACATCCAGCACCTGGGCAGGGCTTAACTGCACCAGAGGGGTCCTGTTAGTAGTAACAAAGGGGACCCTGTGGGAAGAAGAGCAGGAGAAGGGGCTGGAAACCTCTAGAAGAGCTGCCACACTGCTAAGTTCTGCCCTTGTGCAAGCACAGCACCCACTGAAGGCAGGAGAATTTCTTTCAGGGACTGGCACTTCATATTGCTGCAAAAATATAATCCAGGCTGGCTCACCTAGTTCTGAAGGAGAATATCTTTAGAAAATTTCCTATAAATGTTTAATCATTTAATCTTGGATGGCATTTAATTAGCAATCTAATTAACTTTTTTCTATTTATCACTCGCAGAGGATCTTGGCACCTTCCACAGCAGGGCAGGGGATCACAGCATACATAGGGGGAGTTCCTGGGCAGGGGAAGTCCAAGGGAGTTCCAAGACCCTCCAGAAGCTCTCCGGAGCAGCTAATGAGGCTTTGGGGAGACAGGGCTAATGGCATCCACCCCCCAACCTGGGCACTCCCCTGGGCAGTGACACAGGGCCAGTGCCAAGGCTCAGGATGGCAGCTTTGTGTGGCCTCTGAGGCAGGAGGATGTGCAGAGAGGAAAAATTTTTGGCAGAAGGACATTCCACTGGCTGACTGGAGAGACTTAAAGCCCACATAACACAGCAGCTGAGCGGCTCTGTGTGTGTTGCCTCCCACCAGGGCACTTGCCCTGCCATTCCCTGTAGGCAGGGCAGTGGGGAAAGGCTGCTGCTCTGCTCAGTGCTGGCCAGCACCTCCACACAGACAGAGCTGCTGAAGGCAGAGATTGGATGGGAGATGTCACACCAGTGCCCTGGTAAACAGAAGGAACTGCCCTGTCCTGGGGTGCAGCCTATTGTGGCAGCAGTGGACCCGAGGCCAGGGAATGATGTGCACTGACTCCATGACTGCAGAGGCCTGATCGATTGCTTTATTAAGCTTTGCTATCTCGGAGTCTCTGTGGTGAGATAACCCCGAGGTGTTAGAAAGTCTCTTTTTCCCAGCCCCGAGATCAAAGCAGGAGTCGGGATTCTTCGGCTGTGGTTTTCAAGGTTGTTTATTCTCTGTTATCTATAGCATTCTTTTCTGACCTGCTAAGGTCTGTCTAGCAAGTCAGTCCATGGCACACTGACTACCCTCGGGGAGGTGTTACCTTCTTATACTAAAAACTAAATTATTTACAATAATTTTCCAATACCTATCAGCTATGTTAGACAGTGTATTTCTACTCTAAACCAATCCGAAAGTGCCACCATCATCCAGAAGATGGAGGACAAGAAGAAGAAAGAAGGACAAGACACGCCCAAATATCTCCATCTTGGATTCTGAACCTTCATTCTAAAAACCCTAAATTCTACTTTTCTGTCTTGTGACAAACTAACTATCATTTTACTTAAAGTCTCGTGGCTTGTAAATCCTCATATAAAGTTGGTAATTTTTTTTCCATGGGTTAAAATCAAAGGCACAGATGTATTTGGCTTTGTGCCGAGGTCTCTGAGCCCCCTGCTAGGGGCTTGAGCCATCCAGGGCAGCCAGAGGAATGTCCTGGGTTCCGACAATGCTATATTCTCCTCTCCTCTCCCTCTCCCTCTCCCTCTCCCTCTCCTCTCCTCTGTATTTCACTATACTACTAAGAAAAACCCATGGCCCTTGCCAGGCAGTCTGATACACAATTGGATCCAATTGGTCAATGAATCAAAACACCATCACCAGAGTCCAGTTAAGAAGCTTACATTTTGGTAAACAATCTCCATAACACATTCCACGTGTGCACCACAACAGGTGCAGAGATTAAGATAAGAATTGTTTTCTCTGAGCTTTCTCACAGCTTCTCAGGAAAATCCTGGGAGAGAATTAAGTCTCTCTCTATTCAGGGAATATGTGAATACCACAGCAGCCAGCCCTACAAGGGAGGGGATTGCCCACCTCACCTGGGGCCCTGGGGGCAGTTTTGGCTGCCACAACATAAAAAGGATATAAAGGCATTAGACAGCATGCAAAGGAGGGCTACAAAAATGATGAAGGTTCTGGAGGGGAAGCTGTGTGAGAAATGGCTGGGGGCACTTGGTCTGTTCAGTTTGGAGTAGCTGAGACTGAGGGGAGCCCCCACTGAGGTCTTCAGCATCCTCATTAGAGGAAGAGGAGGGCAGACACTGATCTAGTCCTTCTGGAGACCAGTGGAAGGGTCTGAAATCAGGGTAGGTTTAGACTGCATATGAGGAAAAGGTTTTCCACACAGAGGGTGGCTGGGCACTAGAACAGGCTCCCCAGGAATGGTCACAGCACCAAACCCGCCAGAGCTCCAGAAGCACCTGGACACACTCTGAGCGTGTGACAATCCATGGTGCCACTCTTAGGGATTCTGCCCTGTGCAGGGCCAGGAGATGGACCCAGTGATCCTTGTGGATCCCTTCCCATTCAGGGTGCTCTGTGATTCAAAGCAGAGCAGAGCTCAGGCTGCAGGGAGGTTCTGGCCCTTTCTCCTGTGGCAGGGACAGGCTGCAGCCCTGCCTGCAAAAGCGGTGCCCAGGCAGACACACCTTGCTTGACCCGCCTGGTGTACTCAGCTCTTTGGTTCTTCCACTTTTTTGACACAATTCATTCAAAGACACAAACCTGCTTAAGGTTTTCAAAGTAACTAGTAGCTCTCAGAAAAACGTGAAAAGGCAGAAATTCAGCAATTAAAAAACTTTTAATGAACTACAGAGGTGTTTTAATGGGTTTAATTAATTGGTATTTAAATGAATGTAATGATTGGCATTTAAAATGAGCAGATGAATATGTAATCTAGAGTGTCCTCTCCCCCTTTCATCACTTAGTAATGAGGAGAAACCTCAAAAACATCTGCTATTTACTTACATATCAGCACAGAACAAATATCTGAGAACCTCATACATATGCTACCAGTTTCCCTTTCACACTCTGAGTGCTTTGTCCATGCTAAATGCAAATTATTTCGAGAATTTTCATATTGAGAAGAGATGCTGCATCATTTGGTGCTTGATGATAGGAAACAAACTTCCTAAAATGGCCAGAAAGAGGCCAGTATGATATCTATTAACCAGACAGTTCCTGAAAGAGGTGATCTTTGCCATGTTAACAGGAGAACCTGTTTTGTTTTGTTGTCCTCCTGCTTATTTTATCCTCTACAACAGCCTATTTTCAGTCTCTGATGAGAGCACACTTCAGTGGAGACTTTCTGAAGTATTTGGGGTTTCATTATTTTGGGGGAAAATATTGAAGTAACTTGCAACTGTACATGTGTGAGACTGGATCTAGAAAAGAAATAAAACCTGGAATTAATCACAAAGTCTGTGGTGCTGCCATTCAGTGACTACATTGATTCAATGTTGGATTAAAAAGGAAAAAACAATTAAAAGGGCATGGGGACTAAGGACTGGCAATTAATCCAGAATTTGGGGTATTTTAGGTTAACAATGAACAGGTTATTTTTGTGTTGTTCTAACCAACCTACTGTCTTTCGGTGCTCTGGGAAGAGAGAGTGTGGGACTCAGAATGATGAAGCAGTTTCGTGATGTAGTAATTTATAGGGAAAGACTGGCAGGTCTCTGCTTTACTCCAAAATGTTTTAGCAAGACCCAGGCACTTGGGTGATCAAATCAAGTCTCCAGAAAGACATCTGATACCTGAGGAGGGACTGTGATGTGTATCTTATTTATAACATGGTATTTTCTACTGCATCTGAATGAAACTGTACTGCATATGCAAATTGCTCAGTGCCTGGAGGCCAGAGAAAATAGCACCAAAATTTCTTTTTGCTAAAGGGATGGAAATTACCTTATTTGCTTTCCAAGGTTTCAGGAACCTGAGAGAGCTCTCTGAAATATAGAAGGACATAACACATTGGCTTTAGAGGCTTCTGATCTGCCCTGTGCCAATGCCTAAATACATCACAGAATGACCAATCCTAGATCAACATTCCTGGCAATACCCTTTTGCAGAAATAAAGTCTCAGCACTGCTCTATTTTCTGCTTCCAGACAGAAGGAAGGCAGATTTTGCTCAATAGTTAACACAAGAGTTGATCTAAAAGCAGGTCTGCTACCTCATTGCAATTCAGGTGCCCTTCATCTTTCTGACACAGCCTTTGTTCTCTTGGATATTTCTGTGTCCCACGAGCTATTTGCAAACCCCACAATGATCAGCAGTAATGAGACGAAAGAACAGAATCAGCATTGTTGGGTCTGTCTCGTAACGAGCCAGGAGACATTTTGAATGTAAGCCATGTTCTTAAATTTGCAAACTGCATGAAAAAAAGAAGAGGAGGGAAGAAGGAAGAAACTAGAACAGTCAGATCAAGATCAAATTCCCCAGCATTAGAAGTTTTTGCTCATGCCAGTGGGTTTCGTATAAAGACTAATTAAGCTGTCTGAAAAAGAGACTCCAAAGACTATACAGCAGCAAAATCTGGGAGTAGCTGTACTTCTTGTGTTAATTCTTGGAGCTTGAAAAATCTGGTTTCTGTTTCAGTGCTTTCAAAGACATTTTTTTTATTTACCATATTTCACTAATAATTATTTCATGCAGTAACTTTTATACAAGTGGTTGCTGGATGATTATGCTCCAGATGTCTATTAAAGTTGATGAATGTATTTTGGTATTAACATTCTGTAGAATGTAAAACAGTTGCAAAAGGACAGATGGCCTCTTGTAATTAGTATTTCTGTTGATTATTTATATTTCTCTTTTGTCTAGAACTCCAAAGAGAGGAGAATATTGCTGTGTGAGGTGTTGTTTATTCCCAGTGAAAGAGATGGTTCCTGGACAAGGAAAGAGCAATTTGATAGGTAAGAGGGAGAGAAAAGGTTTATTTTTTGTTATTGTACAGATAAGTTGTTGAAGAATAAACATGAGAAGACCTTGGCTGCATTTCTACTAGCAAACCAACCAGCACCAGAGATTTTCTCCTAAATCTGAGAAAAAATATGCTTTTTTGTGTCCTGTGAGACCTGGCACGGATAAGAGGCAAGAACCACAAAACTATGGATAAATGCAAAGAATAAATGTATTTTCATTTTCAAACAGAGGATCCCTAAAGCATACCTGGGCAGAGGCACACAAATGAGAATGCAGGCACCATGGAGATTGATCCATACTGGATAACCAACAAACTTGCTGTTTTCACCTGTACTCCACACAGGCTTAATTTATTGCTGGGCTCTGTTTTTTCCACAGCAAGGCAGAAATCACAGGCATGTTTGATAGGGTGCCTCTAAGCGTGCCAGAAGCTTGTTATCTAAACACAGATGTTCTGTTTGTCCAACAGACAAGGCCAAACAACAGCTAACATAATATCTATGGGTTTTTCACCTCGGCTGCAGGACACTTGAGCATGTTTACAATCTTTCTTGTCCATTTTCCATTCTTTTCCCACATGTCCCAACTCTTGAACATTCTTAACCTCCAAAGATCTCTGAATTAGTGTCTGCCTAATACTCACTTTCAAATTGTGCCTAGAAGTTTTCTGGGAGAGCCAGACTGGAAAAAAAAAAAAAGTTTCAGCAAGTTATTTAATGATTTAAAATAGAGAAGGCTGAATTGCAGTGCCCCAGTGTTACCCTATTTGTGCATGATGCTTGTAGCACCATTTAGCATGGCATTAAATTGACACAACATTGACATCTGCAATGTAATTGTCCACTTAGATGCTCTTAATCTAGTGGAAATACCATAAAAATACTTATCCCAGTATCTAAGGGATTAAAGTCAGGTTTTTCCTGCTTTGGCAAAAGAACTGATGCAACCAGATCTTCACCTTCTGTTTAGAGTTAGCAGCAGCACTGACATCAGTATTTTTTTGTGCTTCTGAAGAAGATGAGATGATCCCAGATGTAATTCAGTAAGGCAAGTTTGGCAGGCAAACTTCATTAAAGAAATATTTTTAAATTATACATTTGGGAAAATAAATGGGTCCTATTTAGACACTGAAATTGGACCAATTTTCTGACCTCCTTTCTGTAACAGCTGCATCCAAAATGTTTTAAGAAGTAATTTTTAGAGTTTTGATAAAAAGACAGTCCTTTAAATTTTTCTTGGAACTTGTATTATTAAGGAAGAGATCATCTCCAAAGATGGAGATTCCAGATCCTCTGCAGGAGCCTATGATAAAGTTCTGATCATTCTCGAAGTAAAAACTAATTTCCTTATATTGAGTTTGAATTGAGCATGTTGGAGATTGGATCCACAGCTTCTCATACTGTTACTGCACACCTCTCTGAAAAGTCTCTTGGTCTTCTCTGTATCCTCCAGTCAGAGAGATGCTGACAGCAAAAAATCACCCCTGGAGATTTCTCTTTTTAAAATTCACACAGAACAAACTCAGTTTCCTCTGTTTCTTCTTCTACATCTGGCACTGTTGCTCCCCATCCATCCTGAGGGTTCACGTCTCCTGACTCCACCCAGTGAGTCCCTCCACTGGACTCAGGGCAGCATCTCCCCAGCTTTCACTGGGGAGCTCAGGACATGCTTCACCAGATGGGTGTGACAAGAGCTGTCTAGAGAGAAGGATCAGTTTAACCAAGACGTGATCACTGAATTCAGGCTGGTGCAGCCCAGGAGGGTGTTAATTTCTTAATTCCAAGGGCACATTGCTGGTCCCTGGTCAGCCTGCGCTCCACCAGGACCCTCAGCTGCTCATCTCCAGAGCTGTTCTCAGAATTCCGAGCGCCCATCTGGTGCTGAGGTTACTCTGTCCCGGGGCAGGACTTTGCTTTGCCTTTGCTGAACTTCAGGAGGCTCCTGTCAGCCCATGTCTCCAGCCTGGCAAGGTCTCCTGGAATAGCAAATATCTTCTGCAGACATACTGAGAGACAGCTCTGGCACATCATCCAGTTCATTAATAACGTGGTTAAGCAGTAACCACTGGTCCCAGTATGATCCCCATGGAATGTCACCAGGAGCCAGCCACCAGCTGGATCTAGCACTTTGAATCACTTGCTGTTTAACAGTTTTCATTTTCTAGTTACATCAAATCTGTTCTGAATAAGGAAAAGATAAAAAGGAAGAATTCATTTCCTGATAGAAACACAACATATGTGAATTAAATGATCAAAAGTATGTCTACAGCAATTAGTGGCCAGCTCCAGATTCAAGAAGTAAACTGATATTAATAATGTTTATGCTGGGCTCTGTTTCCAGTGCCTCTGCTTATTGGATAACCTTGGATAAATTACGCATTGAGATTTTTTCTTACTTATAATGATAAAACTTTTGAATAAACCAATTAATATAATTTACAGTATCAGTATGTTAAAGCTATTGTCATACCTATTACTAGTCTACAACTAGTCTTTATCGAATTCTACAAAGTCAATCAACTTAGACTAACCTGAGTGAAGCAAGCCAAATAATCTATTAGGATGGTCCATTTCTGTCTGTGAAGTCCTCTGGAGTTTGCTTTCAGTTAGAAAAGTCTCAGTGTGTGTGAATTCAGCATCAGGATTTCTGAGCAGTTTCTGTAAATACAGAGCAGTAATGTTTCTCAACTTTAACGTTGCTTATGCTGAAGTAGAACACTGTTGGTTTTTCTTTAAATTATTTTCTGTTATTATCCTTATTTGAATGGTATAGGGAGACCACAAGAGAAAAGCACCCTGCCGAGTTATTGCATAACCTTAAGAAAATGATCTGTCCTTGTCTGAACAGAAGAGGGCTGATAACAAAAGCCCTTCCTGGGAAATATTCAGGCACATTCCTAAATATATCACAAGGATGAACATTTGCCATCCATAAAGTTAACTATGTCTATAAATCAGTTATAGTACCTGGGCTCTAAAGGGTGGGTGTGCATTCTCTTCACCACCTTAAAAGCTCTGCTTGTGGTACAAATTATGACCTAATTATAAACACGGCATAAAGCTCTGGTGCAAACATGTCTGTTTTCCTCCAGCAGAGCACCTCACAGCGTCCAGGAGCAGGGGCATTGGTGCTGCTGGTAGCAGGTTTCTTGTTAGGACACCATCCCCATATCATGCTTGATGTCATTCCCGTTATATCTTACTCCTGTCAGTCCTCCAGGCCAGCAGCAGAAACCTGTAGCAACAGCCAAACATCCCACTGATGTGAGCCAAAGTTCATTTTATCAAACTCTCTGTTGTCCCATGGCATCTTTCCTGAGTCTTTTTTATTTGCTGCCTCTGAGTGAGGACATTAGGGGATGTTGTTTGAAATGGAGCATCTGATTACAGGAATTTTCAAAGCAAGAATGCAGCATATTCATTCAGCCACATTGCACTGCTGCTGTGTGAACTCCCTTTAAATTAACTCCATTCTAGATCCCAGAGGGCCCTTTGCTGCCTGTCTTGCCTCTCAGAGGAGCTCTGTTCCTCTCCTCTCCTCTCCTTCTCCAGTGCTCTGTTGCTTCTGTTTCATGCGACATTTATTAGATTTCTTTTAGAAGCACTGTCTGCTCAGGTGGAGAAATGTAGTCACTGTTCCCTCCACTATTAATTTTAATTCATCTTTAATGCTTACACAATTCCTCCCTTCAACAATTTGGTCTGTGTGTCTATTTTCCTTTGGATCAAAGACCTTCCTTAAATCCATTCCCATACTTAATAATCCTGTTTCATTTTCTTTTGGCTTTATGATGAATCTATTTTCTGGAAAATGAAGACAACAGACCTCTAAAAGTTGCTGTCTACATCTCAGTCTCTCCGACTGGCTTTCTATACACAGGCTGACATTTAAAATGTATGCTTATATGTTGTATGTATACAGACAAACATATTTTTCTGAAAGACAGGAGTGAAAATGCTGCCTGAGCACAACAGGGTTAGAAATCCACCACATCTTAGGTCTGATCTAGTAAGCCAAAAGGAACCAATTCTTTCAGATTTAAACGGGGTTTTTTAATACCAACACACTTGATGGCTTGATTGGTTTTAGGATTAGTCTTTCTTGGTTCACTTTGATTCAAATTACTGGAAATTCCATGTTGATATGGAGAGCTTTGGGGTCCACCAAGGGAAAAGATTTGTGAATTGAAACAGGATGATAACTCAGCATCATATACAAGGCAGCATTATTGCTTAGACATGCTAGAGGTGTGCTAGTAACAGAAAAAGGAGAAAAATTACCAAGGGAAATGCCACGTGGGAGGCTGGAAGAGTATAAGACAGCATTAGACTGCAGCCCATCTCCTTTAAACTGTGTAACTATAAAGCTACCCTCTGTATATACTTAATTGCTGAATTAGACTGATGAGAAAAGCATATGCTTGCCCCCTGTGGAAAAAAAGACTCTTTCAGGTATTCCAGTGTCAGGATTCAAACACTGAGGAGTTTGTCATCACCTGAAAGTGAATTTCAGAAAGACCATGTCCATCTTTGGAGGATCCCTCTGTTTTGTAGCTTTTAAGTACTGAGTTCACCCACCCCTATGGGGCAGTAAACATTGTGCCAAGTTTTCACAGCCCGCACTGGAACACCAAATAAATGTGTTTACCATCTTCTTTCTTTGCCACCACAGCAGGGAATGACATTTTCCTATTAACCAGTATGGGGAGTACCTGGCCAGCATATTACACAACACTGATATAAATATTTTACTCCAGAAATTAGTGCCAGTAGAATTCTGTACAATGTTTAGACCAGGCAATGGAAGGGAAGGCCAGTTAAATAAGATGCTAAAGTCATTAAATGTTTCCATTATAAATATTTATCTTTGGAAATATAAACACACTGCTATTCCCTGATTGTCATCAGCTATTAATTGCATATGTGATTGTAAACACACTTCTGTTGTTTCCTATGCATTTTGGACTCCAAAGGTTGAGAACTGTTGAAAAGCAGTCAAATTTTATTTCCAAATAGCTCATTCACTAGACCGATTTCCTTAATAGCTTTTTTCCTTGGAAGGATTTGAAATTGCACCATATCAAATGTCGAAGCAACTGTCTCAGAGATGAATTTGAAACATTGAAGATTAAGGGGGCTCCAGGAAGTCTTCACAAATTCGTGGATGGGTGATCCTGCTGTATAAATTTCCTCAGTGACCATATATAAGCAGTAAAATGCCTATTTCAAGCAATAGTAAATGTCCATTTTTAGCAGCGTGCTGTCACCAACAACACCTGCAAGCAAATACAAACTGTGTAAGAGTATAAGAAAAAGCTAAGTAAATTACATTTCCCCCTCATGGTCTCCCACTGGCAAGAGATCTGCTGCAGCACTTCTGTACCATATAAGCTATATTCGTGACAATATGGTCATCCTTAATATAAAGAAATATGAATTATTAGTTCAGTGGTGAGGCTGATTGTTTTCACTCTATTTTACAGCCTTTCCATCCCTCAGCCTTTCTTTACATGACAGAACTATTGGCCCCCAGCTACACCAGGCTAAATGATGTCTCTGAAGCCACAGGAATCCTGCCATGGAGGACTCCTAAGTCATGGAAGTGAACTCTTGTATGGAACAGAGCACTGTGGGTGTTTCACCAGGCATCTTACACCATGTGGTGATTGTTCTTTATAACTTTCTATGATCAGTGCTCTGCCATGGCAGTTTCCTGGCTGCCAGGTAAAACTAGGGGTAGGATATTTACCTAAATTAAAAAAAAAAAAATCTTATACACATTCCAACTACAACTGTCAAATTGGATGATCAGATAGAGAGGATAAAATCAGTTGCATCATCCAGCAGAGAATTAAGTGTAGGATTAGAAAATGGTTGATTGAATAAAATATTGAAAGGGCTTGGATATCTTGGTTGGCCTCTGTCTTGCAAATTATAATTGTGATTGTAGTGATAATTGTGATTATGATACTTGCTTTAAGCTGTGTAAAAAATGGGATTGTAAGTGCAACACAAAAAACAGATGTGATGTCTGTAAAAAAGCAAAGGGAGGCCTATGAAGTCTGATGGGGAAAACAAACTTCAAGAGCCCCAAAGGGGAGGAAATGTTGCCAGAGGAGTAACTATGTGCCTGGCTGGTGGAAAATACAATGCTTATTCCATAGGATCATGTTAAGAATTAAACAAAGAAATGAACAAGAACGTGCTCTTGATTAACCAAGCGTCTCACAAAACACTGCACCAGATTAGTTACGCCAACTCAGCCCAGTATTTGGGAAGTGACACCAAGTTCATGGGGAACTTTGGGGTTAACAACCACCAGGGACCACTGGAGGGACCTTTGGATAAGAGAATGCACAGGCCAAGGGGAGAGCAAATGCTGATGACTTCTGAGAAATTATTATTATATGCATGTTTCTTCTGGGAAAACTTATATGCATGTAAAATATAGTATTTCAACAGGAGCTTTTTCTGTATTCAGCATGTACAATATGTGGAGATATCCTTGGGCTACAATAAAGAATTCCTGCTCCTTAATGCAACATTGGTGATGAGGAGTTGGTTCTGCCAATTTCAGCAAAACCTTAATGCCACACCTGCACACCTTTAGACATCTCTAAGGATGGTGACTTGACCACTTCCCTGAACAGTCTCTTCCAATGCTTGACAATGCCCCTTTGGTGAAGAATTTCTCTCAATATCCAAACTACACTTTCTCTAGCATAACATGAAACAATTTCCTCTTATACAATTGCTTGTTGCTTGAGAAGAGATTGAACCCCAACTCGTTATATCCTCCTTTAAGTGGTTGTAGAGAGTGAGAATTCCCCTTAAACCTCCTTTTCTCCAGGCTAAACACCCCCAGCTCCCTTTAGCTGCTCCTCATCAGACCTGTCCTCCAGAGCCTTCACCAACTTTGTTGCTCTTCTTTGGATGGGATAACCACAGGTTTCGGGAATAGGGAATAACCACTCTCTGCTTTGGATTTGAGAGGCCCAAGGACAGTCAGGAGTACTGCAAAATAATGGGGAGTGCTTGAAGTGAAGGCCAAAACCTCAAGCTCAGTGCAAGTTTGGCAAGTCTGTGGAGGGACAGGACAGAAAGCCAAGTGTTAGACTGATATATTTTCTTTACAGTAGTTGGATCCCAATGTCCCTTTGTGAGATGCCAAACTGTGTTTCATGTCAGGTACAAACAGGCGACGTGTGTATTTGTGAATGCAAAATGTGTGGACCCCAACAATGGGAGAGCTGTGAATTCTAATAATAACTGAGGAAAATAAAGCATGGAAAAAGGCCTTTGAACCTATCTTCTGTTTGCAATTAACCCTGGTTGATTTAGAAGCATTGGAATTAAGGTGTTAAAGGTGCTGCTTTTTGCTTGCATTTAGTCCATAAAAAGCTCTGCAATAATAACCTTTTGAAGTATAATTTTAGAATATTACTTGTATCCTTGAAACTATAGCTTTGGAATATATATAAAGGAAATATGCTTATCTCACGCCTTATTGAAGCAGAGAAAAACAGCTTGAGAAAGGAAGATGAACATCACCTCAAGGGTTTATGGTTTCGACCAAAGGGAAGCTGGGCATCACTGTTATGAGGTTTATAGTCTCTGTAATTAAAAGGTGGACACACATCTGGGGAGCTGGACCCTACCAGATGAGATTCGTCTTACTTCTTTCGGAAACTGGACCATCACCATCTGGGGATACTCCTTTGAGGTACATCTTGAGAAATTAAAATCACTATAGTGTATAGAATTGTGATGTAATAATTTGGAATAAAAATTGCTGATGAGTAAAAGATTGGAAATAGAAACTGCTGAAAAAAACTGATGAGTACCCCTATAAATACCTGTAACCATCAATTATTGGTGTGCAGTAGGAGGGAAAACTTCCCCCACTGTACCCATCGCTGTATTGCTCATACTTTACCATATTAAATAATAAATTGACTGCTGCTTGAATATTGGCCTAGTCAAGCTTCTTATTCATAACACCTTCAATTGTGTCTTTAGCCAGTTCACTTTGCTAATATTTAGGACTTTCAGGGGGCATTTGTGTCTTTAAATGACCTCTCAGATGCAAAAGAATCATGCAGCCTGCAAGGTAATCAGTCACATCTCAGCAGTGCGATTCTCTATAGAGCAGTAAAGTCCAGGAAAGCTATGTAAGTTCACAGCCATGGAATATTGACACTTCCTTCTCCCACCCTCTAATGGTGCTTTATCAACTGCATCTACTCCCCTCCCTGAAACAACAGCATTATTAATTAATATTTTACTTGGGAAGGGATTTCTTTGTGAAGGTGACAATGTCTGTGTGTCTGTTTCTGTGTCTGCTTATCAGAGAATTGCAATGTCAGTGGAGCATTTGCTGGGTAAGTACACAAGCTGTATTTGAAAAAAAAAACAAACCAGATTTTCACATTTACAGAAACACTTTTTCTGTTCATTTTGTTTGAACAGTGTCATAGTTTACCTTTATTTATGAAAATAATAACAGTCAGTTTGTAATTAAAAGACATTTTGTAAATAAACACCAAAATTTTAATTTCCAAAACCTCTAGAATGTTAACATGAGGTGTTTTGAAGTTTGCTCTCTTGATTTTTGAAACAAAATTACGTCAAAATCAATAGGGTTTGATGGACAATATTGAAAGTATTGAATAAAGTTTCTGGAAAATATCAATGAGTAAGTACAATCACACTCAGCATCTTGGAACAAATAACATACTATAGAAATTTGTGTGTAGCATTCCTATTAAAAAAAACCCACCCACATCTGTTGCTGCCTGCTGTTAGGATCAGGTGAGTATCTCTGCAGATTGCAGAAGTTTTCAGTTCCTCTGTTCTGTGCTGCACAGCTCTTTCCTTAGCACTAAATTTGCCTGTCATGATCACACTTATTTATAATTATTATTCATGTGCTTTGTCATCACTCCTAGGATTGAATAACATCTCTTAGGATAAGGAATAAAGTAGAAGGAAAGAAATTGTTCTGTCATTTCGAGCTATGTCATGGCTCACATGAATGTCATATGGTGATGCCAGAAAATCTGGATGAACCTTATCCTCACTTCCTCTCTCTCCTCTGAACTGATTTCTCACAAGTCTTGCTCTCGAGGTTTTCATCTCTGGGTTTTGAAATCATTAGAATGATTTTGGCATTGCTTCCAGGACAAGGTCAGCAAAACCTCAAGGTCTTACTCGGGAAGTCTGGTTGGGGCTGTGGAGGCTGTCTGTGTGTAACCTACACGCTGAGCTTCTACACAAAGCTGAGAGATCATCGCATCAGTCAGCTGAAATCTCAGGTTCCCATATGGAAGTGCATTTGGAAACTGCTGCTCCAGCTAAACAAAGGAGATCTGTTCTGTGCTGAAATCCAAGCTAAAAATATATGTGACACTACCAGCTGCCCTGGTTGCAAAAAGAATTCACATTTGTACTTCATTGAGGCTGAAATCATTCCTTCACATGGTCATGAAATATTATTAGAGATGTGGTTTAGTGGTGAATTTGGCAGTGCTGAGCTGAAGGTTGGACTCCATGGGCATAGAGATCCATTTTCAACCTCAATGGTTCCATGATTTTAGATAATGAAAGTTTAGATTTCATTAGATAAGCACTTTGACATTTCAGATTTTTTGATGTTTCTCTAAATATTATGCAGCTTCTCTTAAAAAACTATTTTGAAAAATGAGCGTACGAGATTCATACGCTACGAGATTCAGATGACATTTCTGATTTTTTTTTTTTTTTTTGGTGACCTTTATGAAAAAGACAGATTTTGCAAATTCTTATGTGGCAACTTCCTGCATTCAAGAAGTGGGAGTCTCCTTTCCTTTTTCAGCTGGCAGGCCATGCAGGTTTTCCAGCACAGCCAGTACTGAAAGATTTGGGTGCAAACAACATTTGACTCCCCCCAAAGATATTTCAGACAGGGAAAGTGAATAATCCTCTTGCCCTGCCTGCAGAGGGAACTAAGATGCCACCTTGGAGAGTACAGGTAATTTTTGGACATCTAAACTTTTCCTGGACATCCAGAGGGATGAATGTCACTCAGGGAAGCTAAAGGGATTGGAGTACTTCTGTGAGTAAAACTTGGACAAAGAGCTGCAGTATTAAATTCACACTGTATTTTCACCTTCAAAACTAGATTAAAAACACCTAAGTGATCTGGAAGGTGAGGTCAGAAACAAAGACGTTGCAGGTGAGGAAAGAAATATCAGACATCAAATGGATTCTCACAGTTAATTGTAAATAGGAAAGAATCATGTCAGGATAAAACCTGACATATCTCAGAGATTTCAGTTGTTACAAGAAAAAATAGTCCATCTTCTCATCTTCTGGAAGAAGTTTGCTTGTTTCTATCTTTCCTTTTAGCAAAAAAAAAAAAAAAAAAGAGAAAAGTAAAATAAAATAGGAAGGAAAATCTTTTTCAGTCTGACATCAAATTTGCTCACCGACTAAATTGGTTTTGGAGTTCCTTATCAAAATATTCTGGGAAACTATCACACAAATGCAGTATATATTAGAAATGTCAGAATACCATCTGTGAGCAGAAAAGAATGAATAGCATGGGAACAGAAAGGAAATATCTGTGGGGTGTTTTTAAATTAGGATGCCAATACTCTGATTTCTAAAATTCAATCAAAGCATGAGTGTTGGATGTAAAGGAAATGCTGCACCTCATAACTAAATGCTTTGTATAATCAGCAACTTTACAAAGAGATTCATGGGGTGCTGGGTTTTTTCAATCTTAAATTTTATATCAGCATTAAAACACATACCCCGAACTCTCACCAAAATGCATGAACTAATTTGTTTCCCAGTCATCCTAAATTTAAAAATTGTCTGTTGCTTGAGAAATTAATTTACAATGGTAACTCAAAAATCATTCTCTACATCTTATTGTGATAATTTTGGAATTCAAGTACAAAAACAATGTCTTCACTGCAGGCCCAATATTCAAACTGCAGATGTCCAGAAGAGGCCTCAGGAGTGATTAAATTGAGGGATCTTAATTAATTTGAATTCTTCATTCCCAGGCATTTAAAGAAGAAAATCCAGCTTTATGTTCATAGTCATGGTCTTCAGCCTGAGGTAGTCCCAGTTCCTAAGAAATTAAAAACAGACAAACAAAAAAAAAAAGGTTAATTCCATGCTGTAAGGCAATTCTGCCCATCCACAGAAAACAGAAGATCAACTCCAGATTTCAAGACTGAAAATTATCTTTATTTCAAACCACTGCAAAGGATGGGTAAGTACTGAACCAATCAGTGAGGAGAAATAAAAACAGCCTTACAACATATCCAAAATATATGGTTTGAGTTTGACTTTCCTGTAATGCAAGTGAAAAATCTGAACTAGTCATTTTGAAATGAAGCAATAAACATTTTGTCACTCCAAAAATGCCAGCCTAGGGCA